GTACATCAACTACAATGAATGATTGAAACAACAAATAAATTTTAAGTAAATTAAATTTTACTCTATTTATCCGATTTATTAAATTTACTTTTAAGTATGATTTTAATGTACAACAGACTTGTAATGTTTATTAAATGTAAAAAAAAGAAGTTACCAAATTTGTGAAGATAGACATAGTAAATTCATATTTATAGTAAAAATTGCTTTGTATAGTTTCACAGGAACAGGGGTTGTTGTTTAACACCCTCACCCTCTCAACAAAGTTAATCCATGAATTGGTCCAAAATAACACTAAAAACTTTCATCCAAGACTTGACCCAGACTTACACCATGAAATTTAAATCAAGACTTGATCCAATATAACCCAAGGACTTAAATTCAATATTAGGCCCAAGAACTTTTTATCTCCTGTAGAATGGACTTTTAAAGATCAATATTATCTTTAATGATTTGGTCACAGATAACACTAATATTTATTTACATGATTTACAATGATGATTACCTGGTCAGCATGTGTGTTTATAATATATGAGACAAACTGTGATTACCCTGAAACAATCCTGACTGCTCATCTTCACTATAGATAAACATATTCTTGGTTGAGTTTTCTGTATAAACAAAAAACTTTACTTTAGGAAATGACTACACAATGTTTCAGTTGCTCGATTCATCACTCTGGTTTGATGATTCTTCATTCTCTGAGGATAAACTGCTGTCTGATAAAACTTCTTCAATGTCAATGGGTGATGATTCTTCCATCTCTGTCTGATCTACAGTAACCTCACTACCAAGCTGGAAAAACTGGTTTTCTGAATCTACACAAACTGCATGGTCTAGTTGCTCTTTCTTTGTTACAGAAGCAACAGCTTTCACTGTCTCCTCAAAATCTAATAGATGTTTCCTATTTTTCTAGTGAAAAACAACACAGGAAAGAATGTTTGAATATTTTTTTAAATGAGTAGGAAAATAAAACAATTAACCCTACATGCACTACTGACCAAGATTCTGCCATACCACATAATACTTTTTAAAACATTTTATCAACTCAACACTAACAACCATACTACATGCCTAAAACATCCTACTTTTGAAATATTTAATCAGATGAACACTAACAGCTAGATTACTTGTCTAAAGTAAACAAAAACTAGATTACTTACCTACCATATAGCAGTTTCAAAACCTTTTATTAACTGACTGCTAGTACCTCAACTAATTGCCAGCATCACACTACTTGTAATTCTATTTTATCAAATAAATACTAAATACCAGACTACCTTCCAACTATATATTTTCTTCGGAACTTTTTGTTATTTGACTTCCAACAACCAAACTACTTTCATATCATGCACACTCACATTAATGTTAAAACTTTTTATTCACTAGCCACTAATAACTGGAGTAGTTCCTTATCATTCACTAGTTTTAAAATATTTTTATCAAATTACTACTGACAACCAAGTTATATGCTTACCACACACACACACACATTAGTTTAAAACTATCATATCACCTGGCTACTAACACCAAGACTACTTGTCTACAGCACACTAGTTTTAATACTATATCCCTACAAAACAACAGTTTTAAGAAAGTTGATCCAGCAAATGGTCATAATTACATGACTAATAAACACTAGTTTGAGGCATTTCCATTACATGTCTGCCAGTGTGCATTTTATCTGCACCTAAAATCTTTGTTTTAAGGAAATCAGTACTATGAATGCCATAATTACATGACTAATAAACACTAGTTTGAGGCATTTCCATTACATGTCTGCCAGTGTGAATTTTATCTGCACCTAAAATCTTTGTTTTAAGGAAGTCATTACTATGAATGTCATAATTACATGACTAATAAACACTAGTTTGAGGCATTCCCATTACATGTCTGCCAGTGTGAATTTTATCTGCACTTAAAATCTTTGTTTTGAGGAAGTTATTACTATGAATGTCATAATTACATGACTAATAAACACTAGTTTGTTGCATTTCCATTACATGTCTGCCAGTGTGAATTTTATCTGCACCTAAAATCTTTGTTTTAAGTCATTACTATGAATGCCATAATTACATGACTAATAAACACTAGTTTGAGGTATTTTCATTACATGTCTGCCAGTGTGAATTTTATCTGCGCCTAAAACCTTTGTTTTGAGGAAGTCATTACTATGAATGTCATAATTACATTACTAATTAATACTAGTTTGAGGTATTTTATTATATGTCCTCCAGTGTAAATTTCATCTGCACATTAAATTTTTGTTTTAAGGAAGTCTTTACTATACATGTCATAATTACATCATAACTAAACACTAGTTTGATAAATTTCCATTAAATTAATGAACTAAATCTTTCAATGATCACTTACTAAAAGCTTACACTAAACTATGGCAAAGAACCAAAACCAACTAATTTACTTAACAATGAAAAAAAAGAAATTATTATTAATTTATACTTTTAGTAACATTTTCTTCAAGTGCTTAAATTCCTCAGACAATTAGTACCTTTTTCCTAGAAGACTGGTGAACAGTTGTAACAGCTTCTTGTATTGGATCTTCATTTCCAGAATTATGCTGATCCTATAATTAATTCACTATGTAATATATTTCTTTTAAAACCAAACAATATTCTTTCTAAACTCAAGTGGAAAATTTCATGTAGTATTATGAAAAACTTGAATGGATAAAATACAAAGGTTTTTTTTTATATTGTTACAATATCTTGGAAAGTTAACATTTTCCTTATCTAAAAATTCATTTCCAATAGATACCTCCATGCATAGATTAACTATTTTCTTCTTGAAGTCAAGCTATTCTGTCTTAGAGATTTGTATGCCATAAACCTCATAAAACTCTCACCTAAAATTTATATGAAAACAGGTGAACTTGCACTACTGCATGATAACATATTATGCAGCAAAAACCTCCACCAACAGGAGTGCAGCATACCTTTCTGTGGAAATGCTCTCTCTACATTCACACACAAAAATATTCATTCTTTGACAAGGCAATCAATAAAATGCACCAGGAAAGTAGGGAGGAAAGGTGGGAATGTGCACAGAAGTATCTATCGGAAATACAATTTCAGGTAAGGAAAATGTTAACTTCTGATACGATGACTCTCCTCCATGCACAGATTAGCTATAATCCCACGTTGAAATGGTGGAAGGACCAGTGCAGAAAGTATACTTAGATGAGCCTCAAGAGTGATAGAAGGAAGCCCATAGAAGGGGCACACCTATGGGAGACAGCATTTCATCTCAATCTTCACCCAAAAAGAGAATAGAGAGAGGCAAAAAGCCTGAAAGGTGTCGTAAAAACAGCCAGGATAGGTACATGACTGTCCTAGACTATCATTCTCTACAGGTTCATACCACCTGTGGAAGAAGGGCACATGAAAAAAGTATCTCTGCACAGCTCCTCAACTGTCAGATACTAAGGGTTCACGCCAGTGGTGGGAGGAGGACATTGCAATGGACACAATTTAACAATATTTAGAAAACCACAATTCAACCATCAGACTCTACAGAGCCATTGCCAGCTGTAGGAGTAGGGTTTATATGTATTAATTATCACAGTTGGATATTAAGAAATATCAATAACTCTGTAAGCATAATTGGTAGGGTCAAGTCCTTGCAGGAATATGTAAAGCAGAACAGAGGGTAGGTAATATATGTGTCCAAAATTCACTCAGATATTGTGATGTATCTAGACAGATTTGGGTGATCCATAATACACTCCAGAAACACCCCTACCCAACTTCTCAGAGTAAAGGTACTCTGTATTTTAGCATCCACTTTCAGGCCCTAATTGGTGAGGATTCTCCATGGTCCTCAACCCCAGTGGCTGGTAAGTGGTAAGGGTTTCCCATGCTCCAATCAAGGGGGGGTGGGAGAATTCGCATAGGGGAGACCAGGAGAATGTGCCTGGATCCCCATCCATTCCTCAGAATGGAAAGGTCTTTTATTGAAGACAGAGCAATGGGTAACTATGAAATTTTATTTTTAAAAGCCAGTAAGTGATAGCCAGAGAAGTGGGCAGAAGCACACCTGTGGTGCTGGCTTTTTTCATGATAGTCCATGAAATGGGTAGTCTGGACCAGACTTGAAAAATTATATATGTAAACACTATGAGTAGAGCTAATGGTCTTGCAGAACACTCCATCCCACAGTAAGCACTGATTGCATCTAATAGTTTAATCCTTTTGCAACATGTGTCCCTTTAAACACTTTTCTGTGCAAGTCACTTGGTTACATTCAAAATTTAATCAAACATCTTAACTATCAATGTATGTGAATGAAATTTGAAGTTTTAAGTGCTTTATTCCCAAAGAAAACTTTAAAAAACTACTTAAAACTTAGATGTACTGTCGTGTGACCAAAGAGCTATAAAAATTCTCTACTTTGGCACTCTGTATCTTCAATAATACAATGGTAGTTGTGTAGATGTATGTCTGGACTATAAGATGCTTACATAACCTTTTGACTCGTATGTTTCATAGCTCGATGAACGAAAACAGTTGAAACAAGTAACAAATGCTTTCAACCCCTGACAGGTACCATTGCCCACCTTCAACAGATCTGTTTGAGCTTTATAGCCTACATGTAGATGTTACATACACATGAATATAGTCACCAAAAGAGCTCATTTTACACTATAATCTAACAATAGTTATTTTGAAATTGCCGTACAGTAGTCATCACAGAGTACATGTAACTGACTGTAGTATTGTTGGCTACTTGATCAATTATAGCACTTACGGTTATTTTTTAACTAAATATGTTATAGCTAGAGATACAGTTAAATGGCATTCAGGTCTTAGTTAATTATGTCTTAAAGTGCATAATTGAAAGCTTAAAGAATTTTTAAATATGCATTATACTTTGCATCTGTTCTCAAGGCTTACGATATTACACACAGTGCACAAGAATTTTGCCAAAGAGTTACACATTTCTGCCAGAGACTGTAATACACCTCGAGGGCATCATTGACTTGTCTCAAGATGAATGATAAGTGGTAATGGACAGGAAAGGAAAAGAAAACACTAAAAATTAACTATACGTGAAAAGGAAAAGACCTGAAATCATGAATTTAACAAAAGAAAAATATTTAAAGATATTCCACAAAAAATTAAAAGGTATGTGTTTTTTTCTATTTCCTAATTTTAATCATTTCATTGTATCGTATATTGATGATAATAGCTAGAGTTAGTGATATGGTATAGAAAAATAAAAAATTAATATTCTTTTAGGTTCTAGAGATTATGAAATATGAAATTATAAGATGAAGAATTTTACTTTTTACTTCATATAAAAATCACCTTGGAAGTGAACTATTTAAGAGTTTGAGTGCAAGTAATTACAATAAATAAATAACATACATTTAGTAAAAATTATTAATTAAAATAACGTCATTCTTCGTGTACAAGATACTTATAATCTTCAATAAAACCTTCCCAGTTTTTGAGAGGAAATGTTAAGAAATCCAAGAGTTACTGTATGTATTGTTGCACAAGTGAAATTTGTGACACATTTTCTCCAAATTAGAAATGTGGGAAAAACTGAAGAGAGATATAAATATCCACCATATGAGATAGTGGATCAAATCTGTCATAGAGTTACACGAAGGCCCCAGTTCTGAAAGGACAGTGAGAGAAACCATAAGGAGGAAGAATGTGACAAAACACTGAACAGCCCTTAAGGAGAAGAGCATCTGTTCATAAAAGAAATAACACCAAAAAAAGAAAATGTAGATGGGGATATGGGAGAAAATGAGTAACCACATTCCCCTGTCATGGAATCCAATGGAAAGCAAAATTGGCCAGGTCAAAGGAGAAGGGAAGAGTGGTAATGAGAAAGTGAAAGGAAACAAGGGCATAGATATGTGTACCACAGTAAATAGAAAAAGGACTCATGTGTCCAGGGAAAGCTGAAATAACTACTTCAGGTTTGATAGGGATCTGAATAAAAGGATGGGGAACCACAATGATAATTCAATCAGACAAGAAGTAGGAAGGTGGGCAGTGGATAATATGGTAGAAAGAGGCAAAGAAGAAGGGAAACTTGTAACATCAGGAAAGGCAGAAGGTGAAGAATATGCTACCCTAAAACCCAAGACAGAAGAGACTTACAGATCATGGGAGAACCATTCCATGAAAGAGGAGGAACATGCGACAATGTTACAAAATCGAATGAAAATGGTAACAAAGAGACCAAGGTGATAAGTATATCCTGCACTTCAGCATGTGGAGGTAGAAAGGTGACAGGAGTGGGACAAAGGGGCAGCTACATGATCAGGTGAACTAGATAATCCCATATGCAATGAGAAAGGGATGCCATATCCTTATGAAAGAGTAATGTGTGATGGTGGATCAGACAAGAAGGAAAGTTGGGAATGGAAAGACAGTGCTGAAACTCCATATAAATAAGGTTGGGAAAGACTGTGAGGGGCCACCAAAAGGACTCTTTATGGAGTGTCCAGAAACTGAGCAAGAACCAGAGGGAGAAGATGGAAAGGAGGAAATGCCTAGTAAAAAACGATGGGACAAACTAGATTGAAGGCACAGACAGCCAGGGAATACGAATGAGGCACAGGAGACAGAAGTTAACATTTCCCCAATGTATTTCCAATAATACCTCCACTGACACTTATAGCTATTACTTGACAGCCAGGGTTCCAACTTTGCCCATCTAAGCATTGGTCTGATTTTTCTCACTTGCTCCAGTTTTTTATACCCCACTCAACTGCCCTTGGTGATCCTTTGTCTCGTAATATTCTCCACCTCGTTAGTGCACCCTCTATCCTGGTACTGTATATAAGCACTTCATTCAGATAATTTTATCACTTTTTGAGACTGATACCATACCAGTCTCTAAAGAGAGAAAGGGCAGGAGAGTGTCAGTAGAGGTAGATATTATTGGAAATATATTTTCAATTTAGGAAACCATACTTCCAAACCATACTTACCTCTGCTGCCACTTATAGCTAGAATCTCACATTGAGAAAGTGGAGGGGCCAGTGAGGGCATTATCCATACAAAATGTGTCTGCATAAATCAAGGGTGTACCAAGATAAGAATGATACCTGAGTGGGGGAACCCCACTACATACAGAACAGGTATGCTCTTCACCCTGAACTTAGTTCCTGTATAAAGGGTGGAACTGTACATGAGTAATCATCACTATAGGCCAGCCCCAACCAGATAACTAAGGTTCCACAACTCATGGTTAGAATTAAGGGGGTCTTGGTCCCTATATCTCATGTTGGTGGCTAGGGCAAGTGGACCTCAGCATTATATATATACATACTTTTGACTGGATCCAAACCTGTAGCCATAGAGTGATGCATTCTGAACCGTTGGAATCATGATGAGAAAGTAAGTAACACCAAAGTGGACAAACTTTCCCCCTCCACCTGAAGTAGCCTGCAATGAAACACACCAGGCTCGGAATGATGGGATCATATATGCCTTATTCAAACAAAAGAACAACTCATCCAGTCTGGAATTATTAAAATTCATCCTCACTCTCCAATCAAATGGGTAAGGAACCTTCCACTTGCCCCTAGAATTATGGAGAGAA